CATGTCAGGAACAGGTACACTACGGATGCTCTAAGTATGCCCTGCTTCGATCACGCTCTAAGAACTCCAAAATACACGCCGCCGAGTAACCGCAGGACAAGAAAACACCGAAATCTCATATGCTGGGTCCGGGCCACCTTGAACACTCAGCGCGACACATTAAGGAGCCCCTAGTTTTCCGCAATCCCACAAGCGCATGAGACAAAGAACATGAGAAAAAAACACAACATGTTGTAATTTCGTAGAAAAAACACACCGGGTATGGCTGGCCGCAGGGACGGTACATGCACATAAATTGGCGCACTTGCGAAAACCTTCAGTACGGCATGTGTGAACCGCGCCAAGAGAGGCAAGGTTTTGCGAAGTTGTAGAAGGTGACGCAGCGCCTCAATGTTGGACATTCCGACGGTGTCCTCTCGAAGTGAGGGCATGTGGAATAGCATGTCCGCAAGGAATTCGCGACGAAGCACGCATAGTTGCTCGTCTGCCACGCATTCGAACAGGGCATGTACCGGAGTCTCCACGCACTCTTCACAGAACCGGCATAGCCGAGAGTCACGAGGAACAGAGGCACGATAACGCTCAGCCCATCGCAAACGAACCTCCGCAAGGCAGTGGTCCGCTAGGACAAGGCGGGTGAGCGCTAGGCGATGTTCGGGGATTGGAACCTGTAGATATTCTCGCAGGCGCAGGACAGGAGATGCGGCAGGTCTCCCATTGGGCTGGACGCGCGTACGGCCACGGACCAGAAGAGCGAGGGGGGATGTGTTTAGCTGCGACTGTAGTGAAGTGGCCATGGACGACGCCACCTGCGCCAAGATTGCGGGTAGGTTCAGCGCGGAGGCAAGATCATTGTGAGTGACATTGACGGACAGCGGCAGGCACTGTGTGAGAACCCATACTACATCGGAGATCCAGCAGGGACAGTGCGCTCGGGCAAGCGCGAGAGAGCTTTGCACGGCATGATATATGAGGTGGTCCGTCGAAGCCAGCGCGTACTTCAGGAACCGGAGTAGCAGTCGAATCCGGCGGTATTGCAGCGGTTCAAGCCCCGTCTCTGTTGACAGGAATGCACGCATTGAGCATGCAGATAAGCCAAGCAGGCGACGTAGAAAAGTAACTTGAACCGCCTCGAGTTGGGCCAGTAGCGAGAGGTCGACGTCGGGGATGATGTCGCACGCATGGATCAAGTGGGGGTCAACACGTGCCATGTATAGATGTGTACCCTCCCGAGGGGGAAGACGGCCGACCATTGACTTCAGGCCCAACGTTACGTGTGCAACAGAACGGCCCTTCCGCGCTTTCGCCTCATAGTGTCGAGCGAAGATGTTCCGGTGGGTGCTCTGCAGGGTGACGCCGACATACGTGTATGACTCAGTCCATGCAAGGGGGCTCCCGAGAAGTGTGAGCACCGGCCTAGAGCGAGGGATGGGGCCGAAAAGCATGCCACTTGACTTTTTGACATTTATGCAGAGGAAGTTGATTGCACACCAGGCTTCGAGGATACGTAGTTTCCTTTGGAGGCCAGCAAGTGACAGGGAGAACAAGACAATGTCGTCGGCTTGCTCCAGGTGGGACACCGGGACGTTGTTGAGGGAGACGTCGTCAGGGTCATCCGGGAAGATGAGATCACACATGAAAATGATCCACAAGATTGGGGATGCGGAATCCCCTGCAAGCACTCCATGCCCAGAGGCAAATGACTCGGAGACATCGCCATCGGCACGGACCACATAGCGCATCTTTGTGTATAGCATGCGCAAGAAGTCAAGGAGCGGGCCAGAAGCGCCTAGGCGCATGAGTTTCAGCCAAAGTGCGGGATGGTCGACGGAGGGGAATGCATTGGTCAGGTCAACAAATGCGCTGTAGAGAGGACGCCCAGAATGCCGAGCCTGGTCGATTGCGCAGCGGAGTACAAATACATTAGGGGTGTTCAAAGTTCGCCAGCTGCGCCGCAGCTCGGTCGCAGCTGGGGTCGGCAGCTCGATGGCAGCTGGACTTCGTCCGTCCTGCGACTTT